TGAAAACATGAGAAAATCCTATATGTTACACGTAGTAAAGCGTTTTTTCGGAGTGTCGTGAAGTAGAATGACGAAGTTAAAAAAATTGGAATTTCGCAGCGCAATATCTTTGGAATTCGTGTGAGAGTGTCCGTTCGTGCAGCGCAATTCCTCAGCGAATTGCCTCCCAACCTCCAGCCACCACTATTCACTATACGAATGCTCCGACGAGTCGTGTTTTGTCGCGGTTGGCGGTGGCGTTGTCGCACCTTTCATATGTACCACGATGGTGGTTTTCTTTTGTTCTGCAACAATAATTTCATTCCACCGATGATGTGGTGGCATTGTGCCAAAAACAACTTTCGCTGGCAACTTGCCAAAAAAACAGTAATAATAAATAGACGCTATAATGATGTATAATAATGAATATAATAAATAAATTAATTAAAAACCCCCACCTCGGCCCTCACTGCTACCACTTGATGAGCTTGCCTGAGACTTCAATTCATCGTCTCTGCCTAATTTTATCTCTTCTTCATTTGAACCCGTTGGCTTAGTGACTGTTTCTAAATTGCGTGTAACATTAAATAAATTTAAATACATATATATTTATTTATATATATAATGATAAATAGTGTCAACAACAAATAATAATAATAAATAAAAATAAATAATAACAAATAAAAGCAATAACCAAATAATAAATATTAATAATAATAAATAAAACGCACCCGTCTCTTTAAGCGAGCTCATATCTGCAGGCGGTGATGGATGTTCGCGAATTGGAGATATCGAACGAGCTTGAGATGACGTCATCTGGCGGGATGCCAATTTTGATCCACTCAAATAGCAAAATAAACAATAATATTACAATAAAAATAATAACAGTACTAAATATAATATTAAATAAATAATAATTGTAATAAATAATAACAATAAATTGAATTTTAAAAATTCTCACCCCACATCGCTGAACGCGTAATCGAACGCCGTCGCCGACGTGAGCGTCGCGGCTCCAGGTCTCGTAGCTCCGCCCACTAGTCTCACAGGGCCAAGGTCTATTGGTGGCTCTGAGGCGGCTCCTAGGCCTAGGCCCAGGCCGAGCCCCACGCCTCCTAGACCCAGACCTGTCGTCGCGCCCAGGGCGCTGCCGCCGTATGGCAATGTACCGCCAAAATCGCTGCTGGCCACGCCCACGCTGCTGGCACCGTGCCCACTAATTCCCGCCAAAATGCTACCGTAACCACCAGCCATTTTCCCGCCAAAATCGCTCATCATCAGCAACTTATCGCCGTCATCACGTCTGCTACGCAAACGCTCGCTTGTGAGTAGCTCTCGCAACGCGTTCAGCTGATTCTCCAACTGTTTTATGCGCGTTTTTTGGATACGATCACGATTCTCAACAATACGTTCCACCTGAACAAGCATTTTTTTATCTATACATTGATGGCAATTTGCCAACTGAAGCCGCTGGCAGCCAGCCAACCAAATTTTTTGGCAGAAAGCCAACCAAACTGCCAACCACCGCTCAGCTAAAGCGTCTGCAAATTAATTACCCGACCTGAACTTTCTCTGCCTTGATTGCCTGAACGAACTTCTCGTGTTCCTNCAGCTAAAGCGTCTGCAAATTAATTACCCGACCTGAACTTTCTCTGCCTTGATTGCCTGAACGAACTTCTCGTGTTCCTCCTTCTGCCTATTACTCATCGCAATCAGACGCGTGCCGTTGTCCATCTCCAACTGCGCCACTTGCTGTTGCAATCGTGAGCAGTTACGATAGAGCTCCTTCAAGAACACCCACAATAACCATTATAATAACAATCAATAATAATAATACATAGAATAAACAACAATAATAATAAACAATATATAACAAATAACAATAATAAATAACAATAAATAATAATAATAATTCATAGTACCAACCTTATTCTCACGTTCCAACGCGGTCAGCGACCGCTCGATAGCCTCTCGTTGCAGTGCCGTCTCGTTGATCATGGTTTCTGCGCTCCTTTTCTCTGCTTCCAGCTAAAGCTTAGCCATAATCAAAAATAACAACAATACTAACTAATAAATGATGCAGTGATACGTCTAAAAACCCAGAAGAGTTTGGCGAAATGACCCGGTAACTTTTTGGCGAACTGTCCGCACCGTCCAATTGAAAAACTCACTTACCAAATCGATTTTTTTCGTCAGCGTCACACGAATGTTCTTCAGATCAGCGACTCTCTCCAGTAGTTTCACCCTACTCGTTTCCATCTCCACTAAACGCCTCTTCAATTCNCATCCAGCTCATTTTGAATCGTCTTCTGCTCGCCTTCTGCAGCCAAATATTTCTGTCGCAGCTCAACGCTCACGGCACGCTCGGCTGCGATCACCTTAAAGCATCACAACTCTCTCTACCTGATATGACACTAAACAACAACAACAATAATAAAAAATAACAATAATAAAAACAATAAATAACAATAAATAAGCCACAAACCTTCTCCAAATCCGCTACTCTGTCCACCAAACGATTCTTTTCGGCTGTTTGCATTTGAATCTGCCGCTCAAATTCGCCAACTCTTGCAGCCAAATCCCTCTGAAACTGCTTCGCGTCTCGCAGCTCACCCCTTACAGCAATTAAATCCGATTCCAGTTGTTGCTTTCGTGACTGTGCATTCGACAGATCGTTTTGCGTCACAACCAACTGAACGAAAATATTACACACTTCATAATATTTACGTATATATGCACATACACCTACAAATAATGGCACTTGCTTACTTTGGGGAGGGGGGGGGGGGGGGGGGGGCGC